TGTATGGATTGTGATAAGAGTTGTATGAGCCCCTAATAAAATGATTTTTAAAAAACAATTGTTTAAATTTAGACCTCTGTCTATGTCATGATCTATTGTCCCGGGACCCTTACTCCAGGCCAGTGGATCTCCTCCACATCTCATCCACACAGGTTTTCAAACCAGCCATCTCCGATGTGACATATAAGGCTCTCACACATAAGCACTTTGTTGTTTCTTTGACCACTGTGTTTCACTTCTCTAAGTTTTGGCAACTGTCAGAATGTTTTTGGTGTATGCTATTCTGGTTTAGCCCTGTGTGTTGACGGGGAGAGTTTGGTTCCTGCCTAGTGTACCTCCTGAGCAGCCACCACTCACCTATCGGTGGAGTCTTGCTACTCTGCTACCATACTAGGCTTCCGAGGGGCATCCAGAGTAAGACACACAAGGAATAAAAAAGGCTGGGGATCTACCTTATAAAAAAAAAATCATCCAGTGAAAATAATCCAATCCTCATTGGATCATGGGGATTGTACGGGACTGGGCAGCATTTGAGTCAGGTCCCCATGAGTCATGGACTGAATCGGCGACAGGTGACAACAATATAAAATAATTTTGTAACAAAATCCTCACTAACAAGCTATGGTGGGCAAGTTATGGAGAACATGAGCTGTGGAGCCAGTCTAGATCTCCTGGGTTTGAATCCAGGCTTCATCCCTTGCTGTGTAAGGTTGGCAAATTACTTATCTCATTGGGCCTCAGTTTCCTACATCATAATGTTATTGTGGTAACTAATATTTGCAAGACCCTTAGAGCAGTGTCTGACACACAGTACCACTAGGTGTCTGTAAAGAGTTTTGTAGTTCCCACGAGATTACCAGCTCATACTGCTTGCTGATAAACACTAATCTGCCTCATTCATCTCGCATCCTGTAGACCAGCGGTTCTCAGCCTGTGGGTCGCGACCCTTTGGGGGGGTCAAACGACCCTGTTACAGGAGTTGCGCGATTCATAACAGTAGCAAAATCACAGCAATGAAGTAGCAACGAAAATAACTTTATGGCTGGGGGGTCACCACCACAGGAGGACCTGTATGAAGGTGGCGGCGTTAGGAAGGCTGAGAACCACTGCTGTCCACAGTGGCTGCATCGCTGGCATCCAGCCTGAGAGTAACTGAGGATGGGCAGGGCCGGGCGGCCTTGTACACAGGTCGCTATGGGTCCAGGCGCCTGACAGCAGCAGTGGTTGTTTTTTAATTCAGTCAATTGCATGAATCGGAATGTATAGGGACGCATGTTGCTAGGGGACATCCAGCCGGCTCTGAGGCGCTGAGCACGAAACAGGGCTGCTGCGTCTTTTCCTAAGGATCTGTCTCCATTTGGAGACCCCAGTTTGAAGCCTGCCCCTTTACGGAAGCCTGAAGAAAGGGGTCCTGGATAGACTGGCAGCCCCCCTCTGGAGCTACTGAAGTGTCTTGCTTGTCTTTTTAAAAAAAGAAAACGAGAAGGCTCAAAAACAGTTGCTGTGGAGTCCATGCCGAAGTGGGGGTGGGGTACGCGAAATCCAAACAAGGGGAAGCCTGGGATTTCTAGGAGACGATGCTCAGCCCACGAGGCTCACCGCCACCGAGTCCATTCACACGCACAGACCAGAATTGCGGGCAGGAGTAGAAAGCCCAGTCCTTCTCCCGCCGAACTGGGGCTGGCTTCGAACTGCTGACTGAGCCTGTCACAGCCCAGCGCGTCCCCACCGCATCGCAAGGGCGGCCATCAACCCACCGCTAAAGACCCGCCCATCGTAGTGTGGGCCGAGGGCCACCAGGGGGCGCCCTCCCCACACTGTAGTATTTGAAACCGTTCCGAGCACCGCCCTCGGCGCGGCCTCCCCGGGCTCCGCAGGGGAGCGATTGACACTGCGCTTGCGCACGTGGCCTTCGGGAGCGGCAAGCCCCTGTCTAGCAGTGCGCCTGCGCAGAAGTCCACAGCCCGCAATGCTCTGCCGACTCACTCCAAGGGTCGGTCGGTCAGTGCGTCTGCGCGCAGGCCGGGCCCCGCGGCTCTTGAATGTGCTCCCCTGGGCGCGCAGTGGAGCCATGCAGAACGCGCGCTCCGAGCATCCCTTCAAACGGGCCCGACGCGATGGCAGCCCCACGACCCCGCCAGACCCCCGCACCGCAGCGGCGGACAGGTCCCTGAGCCCCGAACTCCACCCGGACCACCAGACCTGGGACCCCGAGCAGGTGTGCGCTTTCCTCAAGCGCTATGGCTTCGGGGACCCCGAGCTGCAGACGCGTTTCCGAGGTAGCGGGGGTGCTCCAGGGGGTGCGGGGCTGAGGGACCCACCCCACCCGGGGCCGGCGAGGGGCGACTGAGGCCGGGGATCGGGACGCCCAAAGAGAAGGAGCCAAAGCGGAGAAGCGCGACCACGGGGGCACCCAGAGGGGGG